TGACGTACTCGATCTAGTATGGATTTGGTCATATCTGCCCTCTCTGAACATATTACCCATCCGACAATTCAAAGTTTTGCCCAGAATCGCAATTTGGCCAGACGAGCGTTTTTTCGTCGAAGGATGTGATATTCGTGTTCAGGGGGAGGGGCTCGAAATCTGAACGAGTTTCTCGCCAAAACTTTGAATTGGGATGAGTAATATGTTCAGGGAGGGCAGATATGACCAAATCCATACTAGATCGAGTACGTCGTATACTTGATGTACTTGATCTACTTGCCCTGCTGGGCCGTAAATTCGGAAGAATTTCGAAAATTAGAGTTAAAGCTCTTATAGGGAGCGAAGCAAAAATTTTCGCGCCAACCGGATGCAAACCCGCATGCGTTTGACTTGAAAGCGAGACCATTACCACGAGGCCACGGTGGCACTGCCGAGGCATCGATCAGCAGCGCTTACGAGCCAGAACTCAAACTTTGACCACCCAGATCTCGTCTGGGAGGTCCCCGTAGCACTTTTAATCTGCATATTCGTAATCAGCATTCGAGGCTCTATCGATGTACCTAGGTCTCCATTCAAAGTTCCATGGGAAGTTCAAACCATTCCCTTGTTAGGGAGACATTTTGTACTTTCGCTGCTCTCCATCGACTTGTCAGCCATCAGGTGGAGACCTGTGAAGTATTGTGGAGCTAAGAAGTAGGGCCAGTCAAAGTTTGTAGAGACTACTTGTCTCTTGTAAGGAATGCCTGTCATTTCTTGAATGAACACGTCGATGGGAAGTAGTGAAGCACCAAATGACCCCCCTCCTAAGCCGATCTGTGCCAAGCCATGCTTTTATTTTTCCTCCCCTTTGCAACTCAATCAATACTGGCGATGCCTTCGAAGAGTATCGTACTGTTCTGTGGTTGTTATGCTAGAACACTCCGATGCCGATCAGCTCCCGACCCTCCGATTGCTGTGGTGTGCTATTCACAAACACCGTACTCTTTTTATCCGAATTTTCGATCAATTCGGCCAGTGTTCTGTCCTCTTTGCCCCCATTCATGCCACGTCAAAGTCGAACGGTTTATTGCTCGGAGAACATTCCATTTCGAATGATGTTGTTTCTTGTTACATTACAGTTTCCTGAGAGTTTCGGCAACACAGGGTTAAAGGAGTCATAGCCGATTCCAGCGGCGCTGGAAATAGTTATTGCGTTTTCTCAAACTTTGTGGGTATCTGAAATCGGTCTTTCTTCTTTTCCCTTTTGGTCAGAGGCACTGCTTAAAAATGAATAACTATTTATGGCCTTGCGCCTTTGATGAAAAAAATAATAAATAATTATGGCGGCCGTTGCGCATTTTGATGCTGCTGACAGCTCTGGTTTATTCATAAGAATTTTCTTGCCCACGATTTTTAGATTTCACAACCTGAGTTCCTTTGGAATTTTCCGTCTGCTTTGTTTGATTTGCTGGAGAGACATCAGGTGGGTCGTTCCGCCAAAGAAGGCTAGCAGATCAGAGCTAGGCTTGAGTTGTTTTGCAGAAGAGGAAGGAGCCAACCCGGACAGTTAACGTCCCTCGTGTCGGGAAGAGCTGCTTCCGCTGCGACACCTACGTTCCCTCCAGTATTGTTACAACTCCCTAGTGTGTATTTCGATTGTTTTACAGGAAGGGTATGTGGCAAGAGAATCGAAATCGAAGAGAAACTCGAAGTCCGGTAAGAGATGGTAATGTCTGGCGAACGCCGTGCCTAATGGCGGATCGACCCTTCCTGGGTGGTATGGCTGACCCGAGATAGACAATGAGTTGCGACCAAAAATAGACATCAGGAATCTGCTGCCGATACGCCCCCTTGTCGCACATGCAGAATTCGAGGATGCTCGTACCGAGTCCTAATCCGAAAAGGGTAATGCAAGTTAAGGCAAACGTCGCTGCGGCACGGCGACGAACGCGGTGTTTTATGACCCTCTTCTGAGCCGTCTCCGAATCAATTTCATTAACAGGCTGAGCCCGCAGGTATACGGCTGTTGATAGTTGTGCGGCTCAAATATTTATAACAAAGTAGCAAGTAACCCCTTAGTGAAGAAAAATCAGAAAGAAATCATAGGGAAGGCTCTATGTGGAACCACCTTTTGCTTAAATGAGGTTGTACACTGAAGGCGAGAGAAGGTGCGGTCGCACGAGTTCTCACTTGTTGATATCAGCTGTTTTCCTTATCACCTCACTCTCACCACTCGACGTGGAGAGAAGCAGCAGCGAAACAACCGCACCATCAGGTAACCATTAGAAATGAATGGAGGGCGGTGCCATGATGATTGTAGGTTGGGCCAATGAGAAGAACGACGGTATCGTGGGCCTCCTCACTCGTTTTTGCGCCGCGAAAGTGGTGTAGTTGTTGCCTCTGCGGACCTGACTACCTGCTCACGAAGGGAGAAGAAATCTCAACTGAACGCGGATGCTGCCTTTAAGCAAAATGCTGCCCATGCCGCCCATCTGGGCAGCAATACAGAACTGTGGAGACAGTGTTCGGATTTGAAGCAGTATTCTTCTCATTGAGAATATACAAGAGGTAAAGGTTAGAGTCTTCGCCTCCGATCAATCCGTTTTGGGTATACGGCATTCTAATTCCGTTCATAATCGTAGTGGCTCACTGAAAGTAATGTGGTCTACATGATAAGTTGCGGGGGGCCAGCTGATGTACAAGTCAGTGTTCTCATACTGCCAGACGACTTCGGTATCAACTCACCGTTCCCGGAGGGAAGATGGCTTGGTTGGCGTGGGTGGCAGCCGGTCTAGGAGTGAACCCCCAGACCGCACGCGTGGTGAGCAAGCACCTCACTAGCAACTACTCCACTACGCCTCCTAGAGCATAGTAGACTAAACAAAGGAACGTCTCTCTAATAACACCAAAAGGCAGTGGTTTCGGCAGTGTCGCTGGCGCTTCTGTGTAAAGTATCTCTAAAAGTTGCGATTTTACTGCGCAAAGGGAGTGACCGGCTCCTACCACAAAGGAAAATCAGACACGGAATCGAAAGGGGGTGGACACCCGTTAAGTGTCACTTTTCTGAGCTCCTCGATCACTCTTATAATCTACTTGCTTTAGTATTTATAGAAATAAACTTATATGTTACAAATACTCTATTACGAATGATTACGGTAGCATAAGCAGATTAGTCCGAGGTATTCTCAGTGGCTTTTCGTTTTAAATTGATTGTCTATGTAACCACATTTTTTTACCTGCATGTGTCGTGTAGTATTTTAGTACAGTTATAATGTAACATCAACTGATGGTCTGTTTTTCGTAATCACGATGTCCTACTCACGTTATCCAATCAATTAGCATTCTTAAGCATACTGCTCTAATAATAAAGATGTGCGAGCAACCAATTATGTTCAGAAGATGTCTTTAGGAGTAGACTGGA